GTGGTGATCTGAAGCTATATCAGCTCCTCTCCTGGTTCTCACACCGTCCATGGTCCTTCTGAACTTTTTGTTGACATACATATGGTCAATTTGGTTTCGAGTAGTGTGGTCCGGTGAAATCCATGTGGCTTTGTGTATGCGTTTGTGCGGGAATATTGTGCCACCAATGACCAGTTTGTTGAAGGCACATAGGTTTGCAAATATCTTTTCATTTCTACTGCAACTTGAAAGAGTCACCCAGTCTCCCACAATGTAGGAACGTTCGATGTACCTCAAAAAATGGTTGCTCTGGTTGTCAGAAGAGGCATCAGCCCTGTGACTCTCGAGGGAACTCGGCTTTCATCACGCGACGTCATAATTCTTCTTCCAACTCTCAGGGTATAGTTAAAATGGTTTGAATTAGTTTTGCTGGTTAGCGTTTTTTTGACAAGTTAGTTTTTGCGGAATGGGTCGCCAACCCCATGCCCAACCCTTCTCCTTTACCCGGACTTGGGACCGGCAGTAAACTCGAAGGTTCTACTGGCGGAGTTAAGCAACTCGAAGTATCCTGGAATATTGTGCTTCCCTTCTAGTTCATCCATTACCATGATGACAAATTTTAATATCCATAACTCATTAAGATAGAAAGGTTTTTACATAGTCAGTTACTTATTCTGCTGCCTATCTTTCCTATGCTCAAACTACTTATTGATTGCACTACACCTTACAATTTATACCACTGGTTACCTTAACGTCAGTGTGATATGGTAGATGGATAAATAACCCAATTTAGAGAAAGTCATCCTGTCTGGTTTCCGTGTAACATGTAAGTAAAATATCTATCTAACCGAGCTACTTTTTACAGTAAATTTGTCAGTTTTCAAACTGGTATGCCTCATGTAATACATTTTGTTTTAAATTAACTTTTTTATCATTTTTATTATTAATACACAGCCTACATATTGGGCATGTTAAGATACCGATTTAGGAACTCCAGTGCCGTTACTCTCACTGTGTAATGTCTCTATCCACTGATTACCTCTAATCTCTTATGTCTAAGTAAATACTCTGGAGTTTGAGCCTTTGGATTCAGAGGGATTCAGATGTCCCCAAACCCATATAAATCTTCTAGGTTAGGCAAATATAAGCGATTGTTTTACACGAGTTTATAGATCTTTCACAATTCTCTTAAGTGTTCTTTCGAAAATGACAAAAAGTAACCACTCTTAAAGGATGAAGTTATTTCTATACATAAATAGGTAAATGGTTAAGGGGCTTTAAGTGACGGATCAGTTTACTGACACCGCTTAGTACTGAAGGTAATGGGAAGAGTTTACTCTGGAAGAACAATCTGCTTGACTCTAGAGTTATTTTAAACTGTTGTCAATACTTGTAGAATCCTTTTTGAATGTTTTGTTTTTTGGAAAATCCCTCCATGTTTACATATTTTTGTTATGACATGACGGACTTTTTCTGTTGACATTTTTGGTATTTTATTTGATTCCAATTTGAGATTTTTTCATCGTATATCGTTATTATTTCTATATTTTGTACTTATATTGAAGTTTTTGTGTTTGCTTCTGAACTGTATATATGTTGTTTAAATTTGATCTTTAATATGGCTACAGCCATATTTGGATCTATATGGTAGCTGTTGGACTTAACGTCACTTATCTATCTTTGTTTCGGATACTCTTGGGAGTAATTGTAACCTGGAAGGTGTATTAATTCCAGGTACTGCTTTGTATTTCCATGTTTTTATTAATAAAGACCGCTTTCTCCTAGAATTTTTGCTTTATCTGGACCTTGGACTGGGAGAAACGAGTTCAGGAGTGCACTTATTGGAACCCATTGGAACTGCCACCGTAGAAATCCATTTACAATACTGACTGAAGCCATCGTCTGGAAAATATTCCACGAACGTTGATTACTACACTTCCCTCAGAGCCTTCCAAAAAGAGGCTCAACAATCCCTTCCGTTCTGTTGCTACTTAAAGTGATTATAAAATCTATCACTATGCGATCATATCTAATGTAGTCAGATGCCCTCTGTTACCATTCTGTGTTGAAAGGAGCGTAGCATGGACCAATATATGTTCCTTACCCTTCTGAAGCAGGTAGTGAGGGAAAAACATTCTTGAAATTTGACCTAGCAAACTTGGAGTTCTAATAAAGTGATACAAAATTATTTATTGCTAATATCTGCATTAGAAAATTTGTTTATGACCTTATATAACTTATGAGTTGTGTCAATATAACTCCAATCGCTAAGTTACATACCTCCACAAGTCAGATGCCAGAAGGGAAGCTATGGTTTGACTTAAGATATGTATTTGACGGTCTCGTAGTATCGAAGTAATAATAACATCATGCCAAGTTTACAGACGAGATTACCGAGTGTACGTGAGCAAACTCAGGGTCACGAAGAACGGAAGATGTGTGTTTTGAGTACAATTAAATACAGACTTACAGTAAAGCAATCACTGCTACAGTTGGTTGAAGTAATAAATGTTTCCATTATACCAGTCGCGTTCGATTCATAAAAGTAGCTCACTACAGGAGCCTCTTCTTGAAAGGGTTTACACTTTCGATAGGTCACGGTTTCGTTCGTGGGACCGATAGGCAAACGGGTGATTGTAGGACGGAAGGGTTAACGAACAGGAAGTGATCAATGATGAAGGTTACCAGGGCCAACGTGTCATACTTGTTACTCGAGTTGGCGTACCACATCAGCGTCGTTTGCATTCAGAGTCCGAAGATAGCGTTCGTAGGGGTTCGGACTAGAAAGCGCTGCAAACGTAGAACGGAACCAGGTTGAGCGAAGGGACCCGGAACGGTCATAACGACCAAGTTCGAAACCGTATGTATGCCAGATATATTCGGAACCAAGATATCGAATGAGTTTATTGACATGGGCGTGGGTCATCAGGCCAGTTTATCACTAAGATTGTTTGAAGTAGACGGTACCAACAGGGCGATGGTCAGAGGCGTGGACTTGGTATTAAAAATCAAAGAGCAAGAGAAAGGTTTTGCATGTGTGTAGCATGAGGATAGTAACATACTGTATCCGTTGTTGAGTGACAGATTAGTCACGAAAACACACAAGTAGGTATGCTGGGCTACCGGAACGAACGTACCTCGTGAGCCTTCAATCTCATCTGAAGTCAAGGGCGGCGTGGTCAGCTTAAACGGAAGTAAGGCCGGAATGTTATCCGTAGATTGTGCAGATGACACGGACGAAAGAATGAGGTCTCTGATATATCTAGTGCCGGGCCCGAAGTAGATGTATGTAACCCTCCAGTAAGTTTGATGGGTCTTGCATTGGGTCAGGTAAGGCACTGTCATCGACGTGTGCTGGCTTGTGATAATCATTGCCGACAATATCGGGGCGGCCATGTCGATAAACCTTAAAGGTCCGTTAATTACGAGAAATCCTATCATGAGATCCTTTGTAAGGCTGTTGCAATAATCGTTTCATAAACGCATAGCAAGCAGACCAGCATTCATGACGGTGGGGCGGTAACCTCAATCTACCCATGTCTGTGTGGCAGAACATTTTGTTTGCTTACGGCTCCTTACGATATAGCAGGATGTAACAAATCAGTGATATTGATGTTACTTTTCCTAGTTAACCTCGTCTACAACCCATGTCTGTAACCTTGCACTGGTTTTTACTTCCTACCGAGAAATCCTATTACAAGCTGGTCTGGACAACTATACTAAAAAAGAGCTCATTAATAACTTCTTGAGCCTCAGAGTTAAAAATAAAAAGAATAAATAAAACCAAAAAATTATATCACTGATCCTCTTTATTATATTTTGTAAATCAACTTTATTACTAACAACTTGGTTCTTCTGAATTTCCTCGATTCTTTCGACTAACTTCTCATTAGTTATCTCACTACTGAAGTGTCTTCATTAACCTACATAAGCGCAGGTGTAAAGTGTTCTGATATTAAAAATGTTTGGGTAAACATACCTTTGTTTTATCCATAAACGTATGAACAAAGCCATTGTTTGGCTTTGAACATGAATATTTTCTGTTCTGCTCCTCGTCCCGTTTTCTTTATTCCTCTTTTTTCAGAACCTTATTCCAATCCACATATATTAGTCTGGATATTTGCAGTAGACTTGGTTACCCTACCCAAGAACATGTGAAATCATTAGCTGACGAATATCAACCAGACCTTTGTAAATTTACCGCATCAATTCTTGTTATATGAAAACCTGTCTGTACCATGAATCATTTCTCAGCCCATAAGATGATTGTCGTAACGCAACCTTCGTAACTTGCGCCAATTACTCGCTTTGTACATTCCATCTTTAAGAAAACAATGAATCTTGTGAAATGTTTCAGTAACTTTATACCGTTTTAAAAAAATATATGTTGCCAATCTTAACATTTTGATCTTGCCTGTAAATTGGCATGTATCCTGTAACATGTTTGTTATTTGGGAATAAATTATTATTATTATTATTATTATTATTAGAACTATATATGTGAAGAGCTCTGGGAAAGAGATTAGCGAAAGGGGCGAGCTGACGACTTAGGACTCAAGCTTAATTATGATAGAACAAGAGGCGTTAGATTACGACAGTCAATCATTGCAAACTAAAAGTACTACGGTGGGATTTTAAGTTCATTTTCGAACAATAGACTTTTGTTAAACATGCTTCCCATAGTTTAGGCTGTAACGCAATTTGTCAGTAACTTGTCAAAAATAAATAATGATGAGAAGTTGTATGTTGTCTGAATCCGAAATCATAAAATCGTGATATGAATATGCAGCTAGTTGAAACAAATTACGAAATATTAGAAATGTGCAGTAACTATATCATTAAATAATTGTGCATAATTTTCATACATTTTCCCATTGCAAAACCATATTACTATGCTTTTTGGTGATATTTAATTGTGTCTTATTGCTAAAAAGAATGTTTCAAGCCACTCATTGTTATCTTAATCATTTGGGCTTCCAACCTTTGTTTTACTGTATGCATAGTCCTCAAAACAGCGTGGGTAGGTTAAAAATCTTGTTTTGTTTCCTCACCGACCGGCCTTTTCTGCATCGTATTTCATAATAGTGTATTATTTATCCAAAAGTACGTTATATAGTTACATCTTTATCGGTCACTCCAACCGGTTGCACATATTTTATGATTGTTATTTTGTGTCATAACCCCAAGCTTAGCATGTTATGTCGACCACGTTGAATCCTCATTTTTAATCAGATGTAAACTAGTTGCTTTTTTTTATGATGTCATCACTACATCGCAGTGTACAGTCATTTCCACTTCATAGTTGCTATATCTAGATGTATATCTTACGCAGACTGCCGCATTGGTCACTGTTTACTAACTGTTGCCATAATGCTTCAGTCCCTAACCAGCTTATGGTTCAATATTTTTGGAAGAAATACTTAACATCCAAACCTTTACATCCATTATCAGTGTTGGTTAGTATGGACAGCTGGTCATTCACTAAGATAGAGTAGAGACAACAGAATCCGGGATTGCAGCTTATATACCCTTACTAATATGCCTTCCAGACAAGTACCTTGTATGCTCACCTGTGTGTTCAATTTCCTGTAATCTGCAAGAGGCAAGTTGAAGAAAACCTAGTGTTTCTCAATTATTTTTTGCCCGAGATAACAGTACCAATGTAGCTAATCAAAATCTAATAGCTCACCTAACTCTTGGTTACGAAGTCTCCGAAGAAACCGGGCAACAAGCACTGGTCTCGTCATCAGTGTGACATAAGTTATAGTATATGCATCATCTAAGTGAATCCCACTAAAGCAGTTTGATGACCTAGATTTGTTCCTAAAACTCAGCTCGTATGTATTAGTTCGACATTTAGAGCAAAGAAATCCCACTACTGTTAACATGGGACACAGTCTGGTAAATTCCTGGCTTGAGCGAACTATAACCAATTGTGAAGAACAAGTTTCAGAGTTTCGTTTCACTTGCTAGACCCGTACAGAACAATGATCATAGGTTTCCACTGCAGTCGTTTTTATTACTTGTTTGTGTACTGCTGTGATTGCAGACTTCAGTTACGAGGGCAGAGAAAACGCATAGCCTTACCCCTTGCGTTCCAAACCTGATGAGCTTCCTGGAAACTCCTGTGATAACACGTAGTTTCGTCTTATACACAATAGGAACTTTGTAACTCACTTGCCATAGTTGATCTATTTGAATTATCTGTAAATTTTCGCTACAGGTTGAGTATGTATTAGTCACTTCAGGAGGTGCTCTGATGTTTCACAAAAGACACAGTGGTAGATCTGCACGTCCCTAGACTCCGTATGTCCCACTTGCAACAACCGTCTATTGATGATATTCATTACGTTACCTTGAAATGTAACATTCTAGTTTTATTCTTTTAGTTTACATACGACCTGTGCTAGTAAACTGGCATTTTATCTTGGCGAGATGCAAAGTCCCGTTTTATGAACCAATCTATTCTATCCTGTAATAGTTGTCGTTATGCTTAAAATACTGCTACTTGTTTCACCTCCTAAGAATCACAAGATGTAGGGGTGGCTTCGTTAAGTTCAGTGTCCTAGCGTCTGTACGCTCAGCCGAACGACTAGGCATGATAAGCCAACTGGTTCCTTGATGTCAAGGACGTCTTCAACTAAGTCTACCACTCTTCATGACTAGATTTTTTTAACTCATTTCTGATCTAGGTTTTTCAAGCAGTCCCAACTTAAAATTTCTAGTTTATTTCATCTAACATTAGCCATTATATTACCACTCAGCATTCATAAAATGTAATTTGTATGAAACTCCATTTTTTAGGATGACAGAAGAAACAGCGGCGGAAGAAATCAATTACGAGGAACAATATGGGTATGTTAATGGGAGTTCTGTTTAGTTCAGGTTAGTGTATTTCATCGACATTTGTGAACTCAACCTACATCCTGGACCAATTCATTGTGATTACTAGATTAGTAATCTCTTGTTGTGTATCTCTGTCACACCACGCTTTGATATTTCCCATGGAAGCTAATTTTTCTTAGCTGTATATAAATTTGTGATTAGATTTGTTTCCTACCGCCTTTTTAGGGTGCTTGTCGAAGAGAATAAAAAGTTGAAGATTGATATTTCAAGTTTGCAGTTAAGCAATCGAAGTCTTGTCAATCAGAATAGGGATGAGAAAAAAAAGGTTATGGATTGTCGTTTGCAGATTGCTGACCTAGAAGGACGTCTTAAAGCTTTCGATGCCACGAAACAGGAATTAGCTGATTCACAAGGACAATGTGAACGTGTACGTATGACATTAGAAAGTTGTGAGGCTAAATTAGCTGATGCTGAAAGGCGCGCAGATGAAGCATCCGGTTTAATAAAGGTATGTTTTTTTCTGATTACTTTAATTCCTTCTCCAGATCAAGGATAGTATTATTGTGAAACAAAGTAATTTTACGAAGGAGATTGAAGAACGCTTAAGAAATATCACAGAGGAACGAGATAATTTGTTACATAAAACCTCTAATCTAGAATCGGAATTAAATATAGCTATTGTTAGAGGGGAGGATGCTGATGACTTAAAAGAACGATTGAAGGCATTACAGGAACTTTTCGACAATCTGGTCAACGAACGGTAATTAGTTCTCCGAATCAATTATTTTTTTAGTTCTGAAACAACTAGTGAGAGTGGATTAGCTGCTGCTAATGACTATTTCAAATCCGAACAGGCTAAATCTGAAAATCGTATCGCGGAACTTAAAGAAATTAAAAGTGGATTGGAACAGAAGATTGAAGAACTATGTGATGACAAAAAGAAACTACAAATGCAGGTTTGTTTATTCGTATTCTAGTCATGAATATACCTAGTGCTGAAGCATTCTATAAAAAATTATATTTGTCCTCTTAGAAAGTTGTAGCTATTTTGTAATTTTCTTCCCAATTTTATTTGCCGCGTTAACAGTTTCAGCATTACATCGGTTTTATACATTCGAGTCATATTAGACGTCACTGCTTGAGTCCGTACACAAAATGTTTGAATTTGATTCTTGAGTTGTAATATACTTGTATCGCTTTAGTAAGTTTATTTCATGCTCCACGAATGATTTTCGTGATCATTGTCAGCGATTCACGTTTCCTTACTCTCTAGTGACATCGAAATTGTAAGCAAAAAAATTGCATAGTTAGAAAATCTGAATATGCAATCAGCTCATTGAAATCATTGTGTATGTCACTGTTAATTTATATCGACTGATTAACACTTTATGTATGTACTACGATTTCGTTTCATTTTTTTTAAAAACTTAGCTGGAACAACAACTGGATGAATACGAGAAGCTTGGGGAAAAATGCGCAACTCTGGAAGCACGTATCAAGGAAATGGCACATTCTGAACGAAGATATGGTGGTGGTATGGTAAGCAATCAGATAGTTTGTTTTAAAAATTAATAAGAAAAATGAGTTGACGATGGTTTACAAAATTTTGTGAAAAATACCACTAAGCAGTCAGTCAGTCAGTCAGATGAAACGTAGAACTTCGTACGTAAGTACATCAGTTCATGTTGCCATACCGCATCAGCACAGAGATGTAATTGTCAATTCATATCCAATAGTAGAAGAGGTGGTAAAGATATTAGAAGTAATCGGAGAGGTTAGGATTAGAAGATATTATTCAAGAAGTGTGATTAAATGAGAAAAGTTTAGAAAGTCAAAACTAGAGGGGTTGAAGAATCCAGAAGATTAGGATTTGAGAGAACACAAAGAATAAATGCACCGGCACCGTTGCGAACGATTTTGAGCTATGTCATTTAAGGTCTCTAACCATTAAGCAGGGCTGAAAGTTTACATTTACAGATGGATCCTAGTAAAACACATTCAACACTGTAGGCCAGGATTCAACTAACATAAACACAACCTATTCAAACCCCAAGCTCCAGATAAGTTCATACCTGTTATTTAGAACTCCACCAAATTGTTGTTTATTGCCTTTCTAAACTTATCTCACTGAATTATACTTGAATAATATCTTGGAATCCTAATCCTTTCGATTGCCAGTAGTACTCCGACTATCTCTGCTACTATGGGATTTGAATTGACAGTTGCGTCTCGATGCTGTTGTGGTATGGCAACATGAACTGATGTACTTACGTACGAAGTTCTACGTTGCATCTGTCTGTCTGTCTATTCTGAGCCTAATGAAGATGAGTGGATTTGATGACTAAAGAAATCTCATCACAAATCAAAATGTTTTCTGGTTCTAATGAAATTACATGATCTTTGGCGCTGACTAAGTCTCCAACTTTAAAAAAAATCAATATATTGTTTACATCCACACTCTGAAGAAATCCATGAAGACGCTGACAAGTGGACTGAGTCATGTTGGTGGATGTAGGCTACCTGGTTGGCGTCCGTGAGACGATAGTCACCGATGGTTAGAGAACTTGAACAACGACATGGCTCAAAATCGTTTGCAATGGCGCAGGTGCATCCACTCTTTGTGTGCTCTGAAATTCTAAGCTTCTGCATTCCTCATAATCTTTGTCTTTCTCCTTCTAAATTTATCCTACTAAATTATACCTTTCGAATCATATCTTTGCTCCCTAATTTTCTCCATTACTGCTAATACTTCTATTATTCCTATCACTCTTGGATTTGAATTGACAATTATATCTCTGTGCTGATGGGGCATGTCAACCTGAACTGATGTACTTACGTACGAAGTTCTACGTTGTGTCTGTCTGTCTGTCCATACTCTGAATGACTATGGATGGGAAACAGTTACTGAAAAAATAATCAATAGGTTCCATTATTTTATGATACGTCAATATTTCCAAACCTAATTCAATCGACGTGTTACAATATATCTGCTTACACACTATTTACGCCTGATCCTAGAATCCGCGAGTCAGTCAGTCAGTCAGTTGCAACGTAGAACTTCGTACGTATGTACATAAGTTCATGTTGCCATACCGCATTACCATAGAGACGCAATTGTTGGTTCAAATCCCATAGTGATAAAGATAGTAGAGGTATTAATGGTAATGAAGAAGACTAGGGTTCGAAGAATTATTCAAGAAGTATAATTCAGTGAGATAAGGTTAGAAAGACAAAGGTAGAGGTGCTGACGAATCCAGAAGATTAGGATTTGAGAGAGCTCAACGAATGGATGCACTTGCGCCATTGCAAACGATTCTGAGCCATGTCATTCAAGGTCTCTAACCATTGGTGACTTTCGTCTCGCGGACACCAACCAGGTAGTCTACATCTACCAACATGACTCATAATCCGCGAAATTACAAGCTAACATGATTCCTTATCGTCATTTGACTGGAATCTCTTTTTGTCGTTAAAAGTAATGATGAGACAAAAACAAAAACTGTTATCTGGAAATAGACAATTAAGAACGGAGTGTTTAAATCATTAAATAATAGTTTGGTTTGCAAGTCTACAACCACAAGTATTTTCAAAGCATTTTGGGGAGTTTCCGTTCTTGAATATCGGTGATTGGTTTGACTTTTTCTTGACTAGTTCTAGTTTACTATATTTTCCAGCGGACGTCTCCGTTGTATAGTATTTACTTCTGTTGCAACTTTTTCTGCTATCATTTAGAATGGTTAGGTCTTTTGCTGGGTTAGGGTTTCTCTTCAATTGACTAGAGCCTTTCACGGAATTGAAGTTTATTGTCTCCACTGGTTTTATTGGTGGGCACAGCATTGGATAGCATTCATTCTAATCCCCTCCTTTCTTATGAACAATACTTTAATGATCGTGGATCTATAAGATTCCCATCCTATAAGTGCTTTTGTGCTTCTTTAGATAGCATCAGTGCAACTCCTTGTCTAGGTGAGGCATTTTCTTCATTACTGGAATTTTACAACATCTGTCCTAAGGCCAATCTTTGTCCGTCTGCATCCAATGTGTTGTCTTGCTGACTTCAAGTACCACCAGGTTGTATCTCTTGATTTCCTGAGCAACTTGAATTGTTCTTCCAGTCTCCTGCATTGTGTGGACGTTCCATGTACCTATATTAATTGTTGATCTGGTTGTGAGAAGAAGCATCGGCCTCGGCTTTCATCATGAGGCGTCATAACTGTGTTGATTGAAGACTTTCCGATTCCCAGGACAGTTTAAATGGTTTGAGTTGTTTGTTCTAGTTAGCATTTTTAGCGAATTGGTTTTCTTCAGGTTGGGGTCGCTGACCCCATGCCTAACCCTTCTTTATCCGGGCCTAGGATCAGTAGTAACCTTAGTAGGAGCCCACAAGAGTTTTCCTGTTTGGGGTTCCGAAAATAATTGCCAATTGTACAGTCGTTTCCAACGTAGGAGCTTTAATAAATATATCCATTAATACAAGCTGTCGTGCCCGAGATCAATACACCTAAAGGAAATCAACATACTGCAAAGCATAGAACAAGAGTGAGAAGCAATATCAAGACCGACTAAAATCTGAAATTGAAATGACAGTTCAAAATTCAGATGACAAGGAATTGCGAGTGTGTCACTAATTGATTTTACGCTTTCACCCGACCTCCAACCATTTATTGCGATCATCAGGTAAACCTCATTCTAAGTCGACACTTGGCTAATAGTCGGTAACGTTTTAGACTGATACCGTGTCCTGATTCTGTCGTCGCCAGTGTTTTTGAAGTCCGTCAGACAAAGTTACATGGCGGAGTAAGCTGTGGTTAGGAGTGTGTATTACATATCCTAATCTATACAGTCAACGAAGTTTTACTAACCAATATGCCAACCTTAACTTCTCGACCTCCCTCTTGATTGTTCTCACCAATCAAGAACAATAGTTCAAAGATACCTATGATCCAATCCTTATGGTTTACTGATGCTTATTATAACTCATGTTTCACAGCTACATAGTATTAAAAAACAAGCTGCTGTGTATTGTACTCAAATCTTCCATAGCAGACTAACGACTTAAAGTAATCGAAATCGTTCATAGTAGCACGGTCATAATTATAAAATGTTTTTGTAGGCTGTGTTGCTTATTTCTTTAGATAACATTGAGTTGGAGTATTTTGACATTTTTACTTATTCAAATGTAACTTATATGTTGCTTACATAATACTTATATATTAGTTTAAAATATTCTGTCATTTTCATTATAGCTCGGTGGTCGTCTGATTGGACCCACTCTACCTCCATGGATCGCCGACGACAAAAAGCTGGAAAATGATCTAGAGCGACTTTCAAAGACTGACCCTGCCACTTTACGTGCCAAGGTCATGGAATTAGAGAGCCAAGTCAACGAACTTAATCAACTTTTAACTTACCGAGAAGACGTGATTCTTCGTATCCATGAGGTCAGTGAATTTCATTTTTTTTAACATCATCTTGTTGGTGCTCATTCGAAATGCATCATTTATTCGATAGTATTTGGTGAAATTTATTTGCCACAAAATCTACGATTGATTTATGTAGCTTACCTAATAATTGTTTTTTTTAATTTTGTAGGAAATATCCAAAAAAGCTTCAAAACTTGAAGCCGCGGATGTTGAACGTTCAAGTCTTACAGCTCAAATTAGTATATTGAAACGTGAATTAGCAACAGCTCGTGAAGATTTAGCTCGTCGAGGAGTAGGTCCTATTGAATTAGAATCTGAAATTGAACGTTTAAGAAGTAAACGTGATCGTGAATATCAACGACGCAAACGAACTGAAACTGATTTAGAAAATATGGAAAAAGAAAATCAAGAATTAAAACAAAGAATTAAGAGATTAGAAGAAGCAGCCATAGCTACTCCTCCCAAACCAGTAAGTGTATCGTTTTTTTTTCCGTGGATAGTGTTAACCAGAGGACGAGTGTACTGCGCAGCAGTTCGCTCTGTCCTACTATACGGATGCGAAACATGGCCGTTAAGAGTAGAGGACATTCGTAGGTTACTAGTCTTCGATTATCGATGTCTCCGAAGCATTGCTTGTGTATCGTGGGACAACCGTATAAGCAATGCTATCGTTAGGAAACGAGTTCTAGGTAGGAATGGCAAATCAATAGATGAAGTAGTGAAGCTTCATCAGTTGAGGTGGTTGGGACATGTGTTGCGTATGCCTAACCACCGACTGCCGAGACGAGCTGTTTTGCAGTGTAGGAGTAGATGGGAAGAAATTTAGGGGCGGTCAGACCAAAACATGGCACAAATCCATGAAGTCACTGACAAGTGGACTGAGTCATGTTAGTAGATGTAGGCTACGTGGTTGGGGTCCGCGAGACGAAAGTCACCAATGGTTAGAGTCCTTGAACGACATGACTCAGAATCGTTTGCAATGGCGCAAGTGCATTCACTCTTTGTGTTCTCTGAAATTCTAAGCTTCTGAATTCCTCATAATCTCTATCTTTCTCCTAAATTTATCTCACTGAATTATGCAACTCGAATCACATCTTCGCTCCCTAATCTTCCCCATCATGGCTAATACTTCTACTATCGCTATCACTGTTGGATTTGAACTGACAGTTACATCTCTGTGCTGACGTGGTATGGCAACCTGAACTGATGTAATTATGTACGAAGTTCTGTGTTGTATCTGTCTGTCTTAATATTGTAAACAATCCTTTTTTTCTTGATAATTGTACTATTGAAAGAAGCTGATTTTGTTGGCAATATAACTTTGCGATTAGCTTAAGAATGATAGGATTGTTGAAGTTATGATAAACGCAATTTCAATAAGCTTGATCATATTCTTTTTAACAAGTCATATTTAAATGAAATAAATCCTAATCTGAACTAAGCAGTGTTTCATTGAGTACATCTGTGGTGTGAGCTACTTATAAGTAGTATATGACGTGAGCGTCAACGTAATGTCTGGCAGCAGAAGATGGAGGGAAGATCAAGAAAGGAAGAGTTAGAAAACAATGGAATTTGTATGAAACGCATGAATAGTGACAATGGATTGATGTTTTGCAACAGGAACAGTCCAGTTCGATATGATGGATTGATATTTTGCGAATGAACGATTTACGATATGGTTTTCCAATTTTACTGAGTAACTCTGTAAGTTATTGTTACATACACTCCGGTAACCCCACCTGTGTTCTCGTTCACAACACATCTAGTAAAAGTAACATACTTCACTCACTGCTTTTTGATTCGTCGACATTACTGATGTATTTGCACAACTTTCTATCATTTAGCATTAAAAATATTCTTAGTAGCTTTTTTGTATTGTATTGTATTTCAAAACACATCAACTTTACTCATTGTTCCTTTTTTCTTTTTTTTGTGTGTAAAGATAATTCCTCAAAGTGATCCTTCTGATAGAAATAAAATTATTGAACTTCAAGGTGCTGTTAATCAACTTCGAATGGACAATGAAGCTAAACGATCAGAACTTTTTGATTTACGATCACGATTTGATGCTAAATCTGCACAAGTGGATAAAATGTCTGCTGAGGTAAATCTATTATTATGTGAATATTTTGTGTTTTCTTTTGACCTGGTTTAGTGTTGCGATCAAACCCTGTAATAATTACATAAATTCATTTGGTCTACTGCAACTAACCTAATTCAATAACTATAATTGGGTAGTAAAGCTGACCACTTCTCTAGTTATGAAATATTCATTTATGGCAATGTAGGGACCCAATGTTTGGGGCGTTCAACGTTTCTTCATTAGGTCTCATGATGTGGTATGGCAACCTGAACTGATGTACTTACAGACGAAGTTTTGTGTTGTATATGTCTATCTTTCATTAGGTCCCAAGTTCGCGTTTCGTTTTACTTCATATCCACGCAACCGGAAAGTATCATAAGCCTTCACTTCTGGAATGTGGCTCATACCCGAGTTATACAATATTCATTTTTATCATTAAAGTGTCAGTCAGTAACAACCTAGAACTTCGCACGTACGTTCATCAATTCAGGTTGCCATGTCACATTAGCACAGAGACGCAACTGTTACTTCTAATCACATAGTGATAGCGATAGTAGATGTAGAAGTAAAAGGTTCGGGTTCGAAGATATGATTCCAGAGGTATAATACAGTGAGATAAATTTAGGAAGAGAAAGACAGAGATGACGAGGAATAAACTGACATTATTTTTAAAAGCAAATAACCACAATGCCCTTGAGTTGTATTGTCAATTTAATAAATAAATCCTAACACAATAATCTCACTAACTGAAATCGCATGACATAGTTAAAGTGGATATCTTTGATTTTATTTGTTTGGTCACACCCATTGAATGACATGGCTCAAAATCGTTCGCAATGGCGCCGGTGCATTTATTCTTTGTGTTCTATCAAATCCTAATCTTCTGGATTCTTCAACACCCCTAGTTTTGACTTTCTAAGCTTATCTCACTGAATTATACTTATTGAATAATATCTTCTAATCCTAACCTTTCCGACTACTTCTAATACCTTTACTACCTCTACTACTATTATTGGATTTGAATTGACAATTACATCTCTGTGCTGATGTGGTATGGCAACATGAACTGACGTACTTACGTACGAAGTTCTAAGTTGCATTTGACTGACTGACTGACTGGTCAAACCCATGCTCATAAGTGTGTTGCAACCACAATCTATTCCTCATTTATGTATGCTTCTATGCAATAGAGGCTTTACGAATCGAAAGTTAATGCGTTAGCTCATTAGTTAAACCTTTTCATTTTTACTCATTAAGTAACTTGTTCAAACTTAACGTCTTATACTTTTTTAAATATCAACGATCAATTGCTATCGTAAGAATTCGCGCTTGATAAACACGTTCTTATGGTTGTTATTGTGGAGTAAAATTATTGATCAGTTTTGTAACTTTTATTCCCTGTCATAGTTCAAAACAAAAGAACGTCTCTGTTCCGAACTTACAACACAACTTGCAAATACTCGTGGTCAATTGGAAATTACTACAAAAGAATTAGAATCAGTTCGATGCAGAGCTGTACGTGGTGGTGCAGAAGTTGAACGTTGGCATTCCGATTTAACAAGTTTACAAACTACCAATAAATTCCTTTCTTCACAGTTAAATGATTTACGGAATAAAGTTATTGCAAAAGATAAAATCATTGTTGACTTGGGGAAACGTTGTGAAACTATTCTGAATAATAATAATAATAATCCTCTTAAAGGTATTTTTTTTTTAACTTTTGAGATTATTTTATTTAATGAGTTATTATGGTGAATGATGCTTTATTCACATTATTCTTGAGATTAATATTTGAGATTTGATTGACAAAAATATTTAAATTCTCTCTGTGATGTAGTTAACAGATAAAAAGTATTTTTCTGTTAGAAGAAGCATGAAAAAAACTAACCAACCAACTATTTGACAATACTAAAAATATCAACAAAAAATACCTTGAAAAATAGTTGTGTGGCCAAATTGTTTAAATTCTGTGACGCAAATATATCACACCCTGATTTAGATCAACTTCATTGTTCCATCAGTCAGTCAGTCAGTCAGTTGCAACGTAAGAACTTCGTACGTATGTACATAAGTTCATGTTGCCATACCACAACAGTACAGAAACGCAAATGTCAAATCAAATCACATTGTGATAAAGATGTTATGGGTATTAATGGTAATGAAGAAGACTAGAATTTGAAGATATTATTCAAGAAGTATAATTCAGTGAGATAAGGTTGGAAAGACAAAGGTAGAAGTGCTGACGAATCCAGAAGATTAGGATTTGAGAGAACACAAAGCATAATTGCACCGGCACCATTGCAAACCGTTTTTAGGCCATGTAATTCAGGGTTTCTAACCATCGATTATTATCATCTCGCGGACCCCAACCAGATAGCCTACATCTACCAACATGTCTCAGTCCACTTGTCAGTGACTTCATGAACTTCTGTCATGTTTTGGTTTGGCCGCCCTTAGCTTTCTTCCAACCTACCCGTACACCAGGCAGCATCGCTCGTCGAGGCAGTCAGTGGTTGGGCATTTGTAGCACATGTTCTAACCACATGAACTGATGAAGTTTCACTACTTCATCTACTGATTTGCCATCCTCACCTAGAACTCGCTTCCTAACGACAGCATTGCTTACTCGGTTGTCCCATGATACACGAGCAACGCTTCGACGACATCTATGATCGAATACTAGTAAGCTACGAACATCTACTCTTGACGGCCATGTTTGTGTTCCATCAAGACAATAAACAGTTTGTTTCAATCATTATGAAATGATTACTGTGTGCTTTACTGTAAGCAAAAATTCAAATGCATATTCAGGATTTCATTGATGATTGCACTTTTCTAGAACTTGTTCTTGGAAACTAATAAAAGTGCTTCCATGTTGAGACCCTGTGTTTAAAATAAGCATAAATCGTGACATTTTGACATTTCTACTTCAACTTTCACTGTTGATGTATGTGATAATAGTCAACAGGTCAATGGAAGAATATACAACATAAACCCTATTATCTGAAAGGAACATCCCCTATAATACGTGTCCTATTCACATACATGCGCTCATAGGTTATAAATGTTTTTTTGTGACGTATTCAGAACGTAACATCATGCTTTCAGAATTTCTGTTTAGTTTGTAAATAGTAGCTTTCTTTACTCAATCAATCAACTGATACCAAATGATATTTTTTTCTGTATAATTAAAACTAGCTCACGAAGAGCCATCAATTAACATTAACGGAAATGAAACTCTATGCTCGCATTGTCAAGAATGTCTAAATGAAGACAACCAACAGTCTGCTAAGTTGGATATTATTGCTCGGGTATGTTATATAATAGTGTTTTGGAAGTCTATTAATTTTCTTTTAAATGTTTTCTTTTGTAGTTTCTTATTTTTCCTAAAGTTGAACTGGCCACGAATCGACGAAAAACGGAATTTCTGTTCGTCGACTGATTTTATTGGATGATGTCTTTAATTAGCTTCCCCAACCGTTTTTTGCCGCAGTCTCGTTCTGTGAATGGATAGTTTAATTGTTGAGCCTTCGTTGTTCTGATAAACTACATGATCAGATTAAACTCTAAGTCTAAGTGGACTATTTAAATCTTTCCATCTATGACTGACAGCTAGTCTTGTTCATTCTGAACTTCATTGATTCTTCTTAATAGTCAACCTATCGTCTGCCTACCCATTTAGATTGTATCTCTTGTTGACTAGATTCTTGGTCCTGTATTTTATCTATGATTTTCCCAGTTTGTTGCTAAGCTGGATCAGCTTCAATGTGTTTATTACTTCTAAAAATTCCCTGGTCTTTGTATTCCCCATATTTAGAATTTCAGCGTTTTCCCAATGAAGCATGTCCGCAATTGTCCCACATGTACTGATATGACCGAAGTTACTTTAGGGGTGTTTCACTGCCAGTTTATGTTCACGCAAACAGGAAAGGTTGACAGTTGCGTGTGAAAAAGTTCGAATACTTCACTTCTATCAGAAGCTTTAGCTGAATATGTTGTTTTGAACGCTGAAAGTCTTGTGATTAAACCACCCAACTCACCAGTCAAAACTTGGTTATCTCGAGCTTCATAGCTATTTTGATTTAAGATAAAACTAATAATTGTCAAATAGAAAATTGTACTCTCTTAAAATAAGGCGGATTTGTCAAGTTTGTAACTTATGCTAAGTACCGATTTCTGCGTACGATATGGTCACCCTGCCAAACAACTTCTACCAGTTAATTATGAAAATGGGATTAGGTCGTTTTAACGAAGCAGTACATTATCATTCTCAATGTCTAGCTGATAAATAATTTTAAACGAATTAAACTAGTAGTCGATTGTAGTGAAGGAGAACACAGGTGAGGGCAACCGAATTGTATTTAACGAAAATTACAGAGTTACTCAGTAAAATAGGAAAACTATATTGTAACCGTTAATTTGCTAATCTTCAATCCATCATAAATCCGTTGTCTGACGTTTCACTATTCATGCGTTTTATACAAATTCCATTGTGTTCTAATTCTTCCTTTCTTGATCTTCCCTCCATCTTCTGCTGCCAGACATTACGTTTATACTCGCGTCATATACTACTTATAAGTAGTGCGCACCACAGATTAGTAATCTAGTAGTGCGTTTATGAAATTTGTGAAATTAACAAATATTAGTAATTCATCATCTCGTTTTTATTCGTAACAAAAAATATCCCTTACAATTTCGAAGTGTTGCTTGTCAGATTTCAGCTATTACACTACACTACACTCCAATTTGCTAATCATTCGAAATTGTCAGAGTTGATTTTTTGACCAAGATGTCATTATAAACGTATCTCTATTTGTTGTAAGGCTTGCTTAGATAACTCCCAGCTAAATCCAATTGCTTAGTATTCTCTGAACACAATACATTGGACAAGTTCCAAGGAATCAAAAACACTGTTGAACAGGAAAAGATTATATTCCAAATAGTAAGGTTAAAAGGAAATAAGAAGCCAAAGGTGATGACGAAGGCCGAAAATAGATACAAGGTTAGTCTGTTTATAGCATTTACATGAGAAGCTTCTGGATAGTAGTAATTCACGTGATCGACTGGATTAGATTTAACCAATCGGCACGCAGCTAACAGTACGAGAATCTTCTACTATTGTTCTCCAAGATTCGATCAGGTGCTGATTGGATAGGAAATTAACCAATCAGCGCGTAGCAACGTAGTCACGCTTTAATTCCATCTATGTCCCACTAACACTATTCCTTAGTGTGATTTGTTTATCCTTTCACACACACACACACAATATTAGCACTTACTAATTAGTTTTGTTTGCTTTTTTTACAGCTTAAAGCTGAGTTGTCTTCAGTGGAAGAACGTTGTAAAACTCTTATGGCTGAAGCAGTGCAAACTCAACAAACAAATGAAAATGTAAAATCTCAGGTAAGTTGTTCAATGACAGAAGTTGTGGTCTATCGATACTACTTTTATTGAATCGTGTTGTTTTTAATAAATCCTATCGACCGCTTTGACTTTAAAATATTTGTTTTTACTACCTGGATTCAGATAAACTTTATTCATTTATAACAATATGAAATATGTCACGTATATCAGTATCAAGTGAAGTACTGCAACAATGAGCCAATCAGAAGTCCGTTTGATGACCTTCAGAAAATGCCTTAAATAATTGGGGTTTGATTCTGTCCTGCTTAAAGTTCTAGTACGAACATCTGAATCTATTGGGGATTGCAACCTGCGAACATAGATATGTAAATGTAACATAAAATTTTCGGACTGCTTGTTAATATAAACAGCATATGAAATAAAATTATCTTCAGCTTTCCTAGCAGTAGTTATGTTACAAGTTAAATAAACAAGACTAGGTAAATAAAAGTTTGTCGATTTTTGTACGATTTTGCACGATAAAATTTGACTGCTTTTCATATTCGGAAGTAGAATTCTTACTTTTCATAAGTCATCATAATGGAAACAACCAATGTGATAAATGTCTTCGATTTATATATGTGATGCATACAGCAAGTTTGAAGTGAAACTCAATCAGTCATTGATTGAGCAGCCCCTTGTCTCGGACACTTAAAAACTGAAAACTTTTCTGTTATCATTTTGATCATTTTCAATTGGGGGTGCTTGGAATGCTTCTTGCTGCTCAATTGAATGAAAAACTGATCTGCTGAAATTGAAATTTTAAAATGTTATTTACTTGTCGGATTAACAAATTGTTGACAAAAGCTGTACGGGTCCCGAGACGTGGACGCGATATGTGCTAATCTTCCCGAACTGACCACTTTAGCGAGCTGAAAGCATGTTCTGTATGTTCATATATTCTTGACTATTATGTATTCGTCCTTCAGGACATTTTCTTATGCTCATTAAATGGTGTTCTTATTAGTCCACTTCTGGTTGGTTTACTATATCAAGTATCTTACTCCTGAATGGTTAAAGACTAGGACAAAATTCCCGTTTTTGTGCACTCAATGACTGTCCTTCCCTAATCTCAACACTTTAACCATAGGCACCTTCAGAATCTCAATAAATGAGTAGAAAATGTAATCCCGTCCTCAGGAAAACTTTTACTATTCCTAAGTGTTGAAAGTATGATATAACTAATCTATGTTTACAATGTTAACAAAGATGACTTTGAGATGTAATATGAGAAATTGTTTAAAAGGAAAGCGATTCAGTCAGAGAATCGTTAAGGTCTGTTCAACAAATCTGATGTTTATATTGATATTGTTAATCAGTTATTCACGTATTGAAAAGTGATAGTTTGAGTGAGATACACAGCAAAATGGTAACTTGGTGCACAAACCATGCCACAGAGATGTATGACAGACACATTGTTTTTTTTTACTGATTTTATTGAATCCTACTTTAGTACACAGTTATATAGTTCTATGTTAAAGTTTTGTTCTGTTTTGTTTTTATGTTCATCCAGTTGGAGGCAGAACTTGCTAAAGCCCAACAATCTGTTCAAAAGTTGTCTGAAGAAGTTGCACGAGAAAAAGAGACAGCATACAATTCAACTTCACGTGTAAGTTTACCGAAATTTTTATGTACTAGTTGGTCAATTCATAGGGTCGGTATATAATTTTATATTTTTTTAAATTCATTTGGTTATCGATTCGAAAACCTGTTCAATCCATGGAGCTTGTCAATACATGTTACTTGTACTCATTTTTATCACTGCTTCAATGTCTATACACGTTACTTACTTACTTACTTACTTACTTTCGCCTGTTACCCCCAATGGAGCATAGGCCGCCTACCAGTTTTCTCCAACCAACTCTGTCCTGGGCTTCCCTCTCCAGTTCTGTCCAATGTTTGTTCATTCCTATCATATCTTTCTCTGTTTCTAGGCTTTGGCCTTCCTCTTTTCCTTTCGCCTTAGGGTTCCATGTGAGGGCTTGTCTCGTGACGCAGTTAGGTGTTTTTCGTAGTGTGTGTCCTATCCACTTCCACCGCTTCTTCCTGATTTCCTCCTCCTCCACTGGAATCTGGTTTGTTTTCTCCCACAGTAGGTTGTTGCTGATGGTGTCTGGCCAACGAATCCGAAGTATTTTGCGTAGACAATTGTTAATAAACACTTGTATCTTCTGGATGATGGCTTTGGTATTTCTCCAAGTTTCCGCTCCATACAGTAGTACAGTCTTGACATTTGTATTGAAAATCGTGATTTGGTTTTGGTTGAAAGTTGTTTGGAATTCCAGATATTTTTCAACTGTAGAAATGCAGCCCTTGCTTTGTCAATCCGTGCCCTCACATCTGCATCTGATCCACCTTGATTGTCGATTACGCTGCCCAGATATATGTCTATACACGTTACCCAACTCTATCATCACTCTTGCAGTAACGTACGTAATCAAATCCACACATTCCTCGAAGTAATGACAACAACTGAATACAACCATCGAATATCCTTGGTTCAAAGAGGTTCTGTTTCACAGGCTCTGATTGGAACGTTGACCACCCGAAATGTGACTGTCAAATTAGCATTTCAATGGAGTAGTAACACAGGGTGACAATAACCCTCAGAGTTTCAAATTGTTTGTTATCGTTAACACTCACACAGGTAGCCAAATGTCAAGTTTCCAGTTATCGCAACAGTTCACCACTTAGATCGAAATTGGTCAAAAAAGTTCCACGAAACAAGTATATTTCAAACAAATGCTAGTCCTTAATTTGTAAAATGTAGTGTGGTGTGAGCTACTTATAAGTAGTATATGACGTGAGCGTCAACGTAATGTCTGGCAACAGAAGATGGGGGAAGGAAGATCAAGAAAGAAAGAGTTAGAACACAATGGAATTTGTATGAAACACATGAATAGTGACAATGGATTGATGTTTGGCAACAGGAACAGTCCAGTTCGATAATATGATGAACTGATATTTTGCAAATGAACAACGGTTTACGATATGGTTTTCCAATTTTTACTGAGTAACTCTGTAATTTTCGTTAAATATAATTCGGTTGCCCCACCTGTGTTCTCCTTCACTACAAGAGTAGTAGCTTGTTACATTATCATATCACCATGTACTACTTATTACGTAGTAGTAGTTGCCTTTTAAAAGTTATGATAATTCTTCAAATATTTTTATTTTATTACTGTGTTGTGTTACATACAGGTACAAGAATTGACCAACCAAATACATCAATTAGAAACAGATCTGTCTCAAACCAGGATGCAATTATTAGAAGTTCAATCAGATCATCAAAAAGAGAATGATATCATTGTATCAACAACTGCATCACCTCCGGCTAAACGTACTAGACGTAGTACAAATGCTGTGAATAATGTGAAAGCTAATTCAAAAAATAATCAAGTATGTGACATGTGTATCCCATAGAGAGCGAAAGAGAGAGAGATGTACTCATGCAAATTAGTCACTTTCTATTTTTTTCCTTATTATACAGTTCTGACCTTTTAACCTCATTTTATAACCAGTTCGTGTGTGGGTGTGTGTGTATAGAATTTCTTCAAACTTTCCATTAAAATTAATATAAGGTCGTAAAAAATTTTAATGTAGATAAATAAAACGTGTGTGTGAGAGAGAGAAAGTTCCAGAAAATTGAATTATTGATTGATATTAAATAGGGAGTTGACAAACTATAGGTGGTTGCGTAATCGAGGAACAGAACAAGTTACCAGTAAGTAAGTAGTAAGGCATAATATAAACTGAAATCATTCAATTTGGTATTGAAATTATACATTCATGAGATATGACGATCGAAACTGCTGTTTCAAACGTTTAACTCCTATCACTTCAGCGGAAGAAGATTGCCTGAAAAGTTTTTATTGTATCGACGAAATGGCACTGCTAAATGCCTTTAATCTTTTTAACCACAGAACTTTTAGAAAATGTTCTGAGATCGAATTTGGGCCGTTTTTATCCTAACAATGTAACCGATTTGGCAAATAAATACATCTGAACTTGTATACACACTGTTAGTGGAACATAGATGGAATTAAAGCATGACTGTGCTAGCTGCGCCCAGATTGGCTAATTTCGTAATCCAATCAGCGCCTGATCGAATCTTGGAGAACAGGGTAGAAAATTCTCGTATTGTTAGCTGCATGCTGATTGGCTAAATCTAATCCAGTCGATCACGTGAATTACTATCCAGAAGCTTCTCATGAAAATACTATAAAGAATCTAACGTTGTATCTATTTTTGCCTTCGCCATCGCCTTTGGCTTCTTATTTCCATTTAACCTTTGTTATTTGGAATATAATCTTTTCCTGTTCAACCGTGTTTTTTTGATTCTTTGGAACTTGTCCAGTGTATTGTGGTCAGAGAGTACTAAGCAGTAGGAATAAGCCGAATAATTATTCAAGCAAGCGTTACAACACACAGTTAGTGGTTACTTGAAAGTGAGAATACCTTATCAACCTTAGATTTTGTTAAAGACCATGTTATTTTAGAAAAAAATCGTTCAATTTAACTGTATGATACGTTCTTCTTAATGCAGTTTTTAGTTGTAAGTTGATTACCCTCTGTAACATCATCACCTTGGATTTAAGTTGAATGAGAATAGGTTGTTTGTCTACTGTAGTTTCTTTAGGCATCCTCACATTTTCTGTGGTTCCCAATAATAATCACCTTTTAGCATTCATTAGTTCCCCTTGTAAGGTATCGGCAGTACGTACTTTTTGTTTTAACCACTTTCTTTTAGTAACTGTGAATAGACAAAATCTACTGAAATGTAGATGAAATCCATCCCATAAACAACATTGGATTTTGTGATTTTTCTTCCTTTTTTTCAAAATTTCAAGAGAAAGCGGAACTGTGTTATCATTTCTTATTTCTGTATAGTAAACTGCACATTTATTTTGACAAGTTAAAATCAAATTAGTGAGTTTACTAGGATCCAGTGTGCGCGTTTCCGAGACGCAGCATACATCTATGGCACGAGATTCTAAAGTCCTAGCTGAGGAAGCCTGTTGCCTTATATAACACAATGTTCAGACACTAAATGCTCCAACATGTAGTCTAGAACGGGGTTTCAGGAGACCGGTAATAACGTTTCCTGGACTCGCATCATTTGTATTAGCGAGCAGTATCATAAAGGAATGTGAAAAGAGATATTAGTAGAGATAAGAGAAATATTACGGGGTGTAAGAAGGATATGATTTTGACCAATTTGGTCTCGTGTGCTGTTACGGGTATGAGGGCGGTTGTCACTTCCCGCGTGCCCACACAGTGGAAGGTTGTTGTTTGCAGTGGCACAGGTGTATTCACTGTTTTTGTTCTCCTTAATTCTAACCTTCTGAATTCCTCATCATCTCTATCTTTCTCTTTCTAAATTAATATCACTAATCTTCTTCGTTACTGCTATTACTTCTACTATCGCTATCATTATGTGCTTTGAACTGACAGTTGCGTCTCTGTGCTGATGCGGTATCAGCAACCTGACCTAATGTACTTACGTACGAAGTTCTGCGTTGTATATTTCTGTCTGTCTTATGTCAGCTTCGTTGAAATGTTTCAGCGGATTAGTTGCACATTGTTGATTACTACGCACAATAAAAGTGTCGTTGTTTCGAGAGTAGCCAATCTTTGTTTTTTCTCTTTTCAAAACAAGGAAGGGATCTGTGTATATGAGCATACATTTTCATTGTCATTGTGATAATGATTTCAACTTTTTAATATATCCATATGTTTCTATTTGTCTTTAGGATCATTCATCCGGTGGTCGTCATTGATATTCAAATTACAAATAGTTGCATTTGAGATTCCATTTACAATTTTTACCGACATCCAGGGTGTTATCATTTGGACTAACTAAATCTAATGATTTCCTGTCTCTCCTATTCAGTCAAGGAAATCAATCCTATCAGAATCAGTTCAACCCCCCCGCTCCCGCGAAATATTTTACTAGTTTTGTTATGAGTTTACATTATTTCTTCTAAACTATTCATGTGCGTGTGTGTTTAATAATTTCTTCCTTTTTAACCAACCCTGATATATTCTACATGTGTACACATTGAGAACTTTATATCGGAGCTGCATTTTTTCTCTCTCTCTTTATCTTGAGATAAAAGAAAATAAATTATGAAATTCTGTTACTTATTTTTTTTTGCCTTTTTCAAAAAGTATTGATTGTTCTTCATAATATGAACGAACATATGTGAACCTATTCCCAGTGTTTGTTTAGTTTGATGATGATGTTGATTGTTTTTATATAAAGGTTAATCATGTATGTATGTGTGTAGTTGTTTAACAGCACATCTCTATATTCTATCTATCTATCTATCTATTTAAAAAAGCAGCACACTTGTAAGTATTTTATTGACAAATAATTATTTGTATATGATAGATAGATATATTTATGAATGAATCCAAAGGAGTTTACTGACTTTAATGCCCTCCACCCCCACATAGGAAAGAATTGGCAACCAACATCATTTGAAAATATACTGAAATGTAACGATGACTGTAAACCACCAACTGCCTTGACGAGCTATGTTTTGTGGTGTAGGAGTAGGTTGGAAGAAAGCTAGGGGCGGCCAGATCAAAACATGGCACAAATCCATGAAGTCACTGACAAGTGGACTGAGTCATGTTGGTAGATGTAGACTACCTGGTTGGGGTCGGCGAGATGAAAGTCACCAATTGTTAGAGACCTTGAACGACATGGCTCAGAATCGTTTGCAATGGCGCAAGTGCATCCATTCTTTGTGTTCTCTCAAATGTTAATCTTCTGGATTCGTCAGCACTTCTACCTTTGTCTTTCTAACGTTATTTCACTTAATTATACTTTTTGAATAATATCTTCGAACCCTAGTCTTCTTCATTACCATTAATACCTCTACTTTCTTGATCGTTATGGGATTTGAATTGACAGTGGCATCTCTGTGTGAATGTGGTCTGTCAAGATGAACTGATGTACATACGTATGAAGTTCAACGTTGCAACTAACTGACTGAAACATTCGGACAACGTATTCTCTTCCCATCAAAGATATAAAAATTCGCTTGCCAACATTATATAATTATGTTAAGTTAATTTTAATGTTTATTCAACGTGTTATGTCGAATAAAGAGCTGTTAGGAAATGAAAGTTGCATAAATTATGTTTACGTTACTGCTAATTGGTAGATTTTCTAGTCTCTGTACGTAGTTTGTTCAAAACAAAAGTAATCAGGGAACGTATCATCTGAACAATAAGGAAATCATTATTTCTCTATACCTTACCAGATGTAGTTTTTAAAAAAAAACTAGAAAATTTTGAGCTTGAACCATGAGTGCCAGACTAGTTTTCTTCTATGCACTCAAATAAGCTGTGGACAATTTTATAAACTTTTAGTGTGTTTATATAGGCTTTTCACAGCTGTCAAACATCTAAGATCCTGGAACTATTCTCGTCAGTTCATTCTTTTATCGTAGTAGAGGTTTAGTTACTTTTGGTGGATTTTTATCTCTGATCGTCTTCCTGCAGGGTATGCCCTCAAACTCGAGGTAAAAACGTGCTATTTCTCCACGTGATTGTTCTGTCGACTCTGACCTTGACTGATTGTGGCTAACCTTTGTCTTTGGAAATTCAAATAGCCTACTTCTGGTTCGAGTATGTGCTAGGGTCCTGAAAGATCATTAAAACTTCACAATTAAACCGCTCAAACTAATCAGCGAAATTTGTTTTTATTGGTCAAACTGATCGTAACTATAGCGTTTCATTTTCTTGTTAGGGTTATTAGCCACTAGTATTTCACAAATCAGATAAAAATTACAGCTACGTCAACAGCTTGTTTTCTAGATCACTACGTATTAGTAATGAATTGTAATTGAGAAACCATTATGATATCAGAAGTGTAGAACACTAAGTACTATTTCAACTGTTACCTTGTTTCGGGTGGCCAAAATTTTGAAGTTTGTTTATTAATGATGTCTTGTGGGGAATTCATATAAACATGAATTTTAATTAGCCGTCTAACCAATCAATATATAAGCTGCAGATGATGATACTTTTGCAATATTTCTTGTACAATCCACACGGAAGCGAGTGTTGAATTATAGAAACATGTAATAGAACTTTTGATATCTTCAAATGCCACCGAAATCTAGATTTGAAATCATCAATCAATCATTGTTAGACAACCATTAGAAACCTGGGAGCACTGGAAGGCCGTTTCGTCCTGGTATGGGACTCATCAGCAGTGCGCATCCACGATTCCTGCTCCTCGCAGTATTCGAACCCGGGACCTTTGGCATTATAGGCGAACGCCTTACCATCGTAGCAGGAGTCATAGATGCGCACTGCTCTTGAGTCCCATACCAGGACGAAACGGTCGTCCAGTGCTTTCAGGTTTATAATGGTGGTCTAACAATGATTGATTGATGATTTCAAATGTGTAAAAACGCAAACTTCCAAAACTCTGCCCCGAAATTTAGATTCTCGTTACTTTCATTGGTTGTACGAAGTAGCAGTAAAGTTTCTTATTGGTATATCGTTATTAATGGTTTGTGTTTTAAATAATAGTCGATTATATTTCACATCTCAAATCTAAGAAATGTTTGTCAGGTTTAAAA